TATCTATATAATCCCTACATTTTTTATTTATGATCATGTGTGATTGTATTTGATATTCGTTCATAAAAAAGTTGAAAACAAAAAAACAACAATAATAACCAACATAATAACAATAATAATAAACATAATAAAAAAATTATTTTTCTCTTCTAATAATAATTTTAATAAATATATATATTATTAACTATTATTATTTTATATTATTTTTATTAAGATATTTTAATAATCTTTAATTTCTACCAATTAAACCATTTTTCATGTGTCATATATCGATCAAATTTTAAAATCTTATATTGAGTTTTATAAACTTTATTCTCAAATTCACAATCACTCACGTTTAAATCTCCTAGAATAAATAATAATTAAGTATCAAATTCTCCTAAATTCATTTATTCTTTCTTCTAAATTCATCCACTAAAATTCAGAGAGGCTAAAGAAACAAAATAAAACTCTCAAACTAACCATTAACATGTTATATGGGTGATACAATTTGATTAGAATGTTCCTAAACAAAGTACCAATCAAGAGCACATTCACACACAAAATCCCAAACAAATTTCACATACATAAATTTACTTTTAATTTGAGTAAATAATTAAAAACAAGTTACCTCTCCAGTAGCATTGTTTATTTTAATTGCAAACTGTTTTTTGTTGGAAATTTTAATTACTAAACTAGTTTTAACTCTTGCGTACGCGCATGACGTGTTTTTTGTTTTGGTTGTTTTAAATTTTTTGTTAAGAAAATTCATATTATCATTATATTTAAATAAATAACTTTTTTTATATAACTAGATTTAAGTGTTATAACTATTATAGTTATAAATATAATATTTAAATAAAGAGTTTTATTGTATGAAAATAATTAATTATTTAATCATATATATTTAATAAGGGTTAAATATGTTTTTAGTCCCTAAACTATTGGTCATTTATGGTTTTCGTCTCTCTTTCAAAATAAGGTACAATTTGGTCCTCATTCTTTTCGAAACGTTCGTTTTAGTCCTCGAAACACCAGCGACCAATAGTTTAGGGACTAAAAACATATTTAACCCTATTTAATAATAATAATATAATTAAAAATAAATAATATTATTTTAATATTGATTTTTATGCTAAAATAATGGATTATAGAAAATATATTTAATAATATCAATATTGATAATAGAAATGAATTATATACTAATAATAATAATCCTATTAATGATAATAATACCACTACATGTAGATATTGACAGAAAAAATATATTAAAAAATATTGGTATATAGAATTAGACGTATTATTATTATTTTTTAGAATGATAAATATTAAGATAAAAAATAATATCAATTTATGATTTTCTTTGTGTTAAATTATAAAATAATATTCTTAAATGATAAAAAGTTAGAATTAGACTGTTTAATTAAATATTATATTAAATGAAACACTTTAGCTTATTTTTTGTTGGTATTGTTCGTAAATTTATGACATAAAAATTAGACGACGACTACTACTACTACTAATAATAATAATAATATTAATAATAAAAATAATAACGGTAATACAAATGATACTACTACTAATATAATAATAATAATAATAATATCAGTTTTAATAATAATAACAATAATAATTATTATAATTATAATAATAATAATATTACTAAATAAAAATAAAATATTAATACTAATAATGTTGATGCTAATAATAATAATAATAAAGTAATAATATGATAATAATAATTTATTGTTATTATAAAAATAATAATAATGTTAGTAGCAATACTAATACCAATATTATATTAATACTAATACCAATTTTAATTCAAATAATAGAACTAATAATGATATTAAAACTAATAATAATACTAATAATAGTCATACAAATAATACTAATATTAATACTAATAATAATAGTGACATAAATAATATAACACAAACATAATAATAATATTAATACCAATAATAATATAAACAATACTGATAATTATTCGACAGAAGCATAAGAACATCCACTCAGGGAGCAACCAATCTATACCTCAAATTCATCAAGATACCATAACGGCCTTTAGACAAACAATCTCAAGGTTTATTAGATTACAAATTCTTTTTATGATAACTCAATATAAAATATTATAAAATAAATCCAAAGATAGTGAGATAATAACAAAAAAATATAATTAATTTGAAAATTTCTTAAAATATTAAAAAAAATCTCATGAGTTGTAAGTACAAATTATTATGTAATAAAAAAACAAATACGAAAAATCAGTTGATAGAACATGGTGAAAATAAAAGTATTGTCCTCTTAAACAAGTGTCCAAAATTATAGTGTAAAATAAACAGTTCAATATCTTTAGTTTTTATAGATATAATCATGTTTGATTTTAGAAAAAATGTCTTCTTTACGTGTTGATATTGTTCTGAGTTGTTTTTTACATTTTGTATTTATAAAATAAGATTATAAAATATGATGTTTTATAATTGATAATTGGTTTAAAATAATAAAACTTAATTATCATTGAGTTGTTTGATTATCTTCCAAGTAAGGGAAACTAGTTGTTTTATTGCATGTGAGTTGTATATTTTGATTGAAAATTGTATGTGTTGAATTTGATTCATGTTGTGTTTGGAATTGAATTGAATGGTTTGATAATTTAATTGAGTTTTTTTATGGTGGTTTATTTATTATGATTGAGAAAACTAAAGAGTTGAATAATTGTTCAAATGAGTTTAAGATATAAAAACTCTCTTGAATCATTTCTCTTGAAATATAATTACCAAATTGTGCAATTGATTAAGTTTCATTTCACTTAAATCACAAATATAACAATATTGGTTTAGCGCAAGCTTGGTGCAAGTCTCGAAGCATTTTTGATAAAGACTATTGAGTGTCCCTTTTCATTATTGAGTAATAATGATTTGGTGCTATTAAGTGATGACATGACCCCATTGAGCGCCATCTTGCACTGCAGGTAATTTTAGTTTTAAGTGCGAAGGAGACTAACATTGTGATTAGTAGGGTAATAATCTCTTTGTTTATGGCTATGAAAAGTATAAATATTACTAGAAGAACACATCTACCGTGAAACTCAATATTAAAAACATGTATCAGGATAATTAAGTCTAGAGTCAACTGTTATCTTTTCTTTTATGAGTTTTTAGTACTTTATAAATGTTTATCTTGCATTTGATATGATTCATCTCATTTATGATGTTTCTTCTGTGCACCAACTTATCATGTTTTTTTCTTTTGCTGTTCTTTTGCGATGATCACATACATACAATGCAAGTAAATAACGAAATTTGTAATAATATATCTTTAGTATGAAAGACGAAAATACACTAAAGTGATTTAGTTTTAACCACTTGATTGCATAGTTTATTTTCTTTTGAAAAAATTGAATAGTTTTTAATATTATGGACATATACTGTATTATTAGAATTATTAAAATAAATAATTATATTAATATTTGATATTACTTCTGTTTAAATATATGTATTATAAAAATTTATAATATTATATATTATTAAATGAGATGTTATATAAAAAATAAATAAAAATTATATATAATACAATTTCATAAAGTTCCCTTGCTTTTAGGTTTTCACATTTAACTCATGAGGGCAAATATGCTTTCATTTCGCAATATTTGTAATCAATTCACCATATATCTCTTATATTACTATTACCTTTGACCCTTATTGTGGTTGACAAAACACAAGCACCATGGATGGATAGATAACGAAGAGAAAGCACTTATCACTAATGGGACCATGAGTGGATGTTCCATTATCAACTTCTGTAAGTATCACAATGATGAATAATCAGACATTACCATTCATCATCTCTCTATAGAGTCTACTAAATTCATCCAACAAGTTATTTTAAACACAGTCAATTTTTTACGAATGAAAATATGAAATATCAGAGTTTTGTAAAATATATGAATCTGGACAATAATTACTTCGTGAAAAACTCAGAAACTTCCCTTATAATAACACACATACAGTCTTGCAAAGTCGTATGAAGAGTTTAATTTCCATGTACTATTAGTAAAATTAACTTTATAGTTTAATCAGTGTTATTTATCAAAAGAAATATTGTTCCTTATTTTACCTAACGAAAGTATTAAGTATTATTCCTTCGGATAATTAATTATGAGTTCAATCTCAATATCGTTTGTGTAACTGAAAACATATCTCGCTTTAATGTTTCACTGTATTTTGGGAAATTGGTTTATGAACCATTAAACGAAAGTATGTTTGAAGAAAAAAAATATTATCATTGTATATTTATCAATTATGTTAATTAAATTTTAATTTAATCTTTTCACATTTCTTTACTAATACATAACTATTAATTTATCATTATTATATGATGAAAGTGAGAGGCGTGAAGGAGCGTATAGAAGGCCACAGTGAACCCAAATCCATGGTTGGGTTAAGTTAGAGCGTAGAGCGTAGAGTAGAGAAGAGTATCCGCCGTATGTATATGTACATGTATATATTCATCAACAGGAATCGAAGAAATTACAAATTAAGCACAAAATCAAACGGCTCCATTTCTCAACTTCTCTTCCTCCTTCTTCACTTCTCGTCACATTCTTTGCTTTCTCTATAAACTCATTTCATTTTCGGATTATACACGATTCTTCCTTCTTTCTCTCACACCAGACAGGTATTACACTTTTCTCACTCCATTTTATTTTCCCAAGGGTACATTAAATTCAACAAGGTTCTCTTTCATGTTGTTGTTAGCGTCCTTCTTCTTGAGTTCCATGTTGCAAACCGATCTTTATTTTACTTCGCCCTAATTCGAATTGTGTGTTGTTTGGAGTCAACAACGCAAACGAAACCCGTTTTTCTCAGCTTCCACGTGTGTTTACAATTTCAATCTAAATCAGCACGCAACCGATTGTTGTGTACTTCATGGACCTCGTTTGGCTTTGGTTTCAATTTGCGCTGCACAAAGTGATGTTTCCCATTGAGAAGCCTAGCGTTATGTGAATATACGGCTTTAACTTGTGTTGAACCTAGTTTTATGCTTAATCCTCTTTGAAATGAAATTCGTTGTAACTAAATTTGTGCGTTTTCTCTCATATTAAAGCAATTTTAATTAGAGATGGGTATATCTTAGACTGACAATTCTTCTTCAGTTTCAGTCTCTGGGAAGTCTTGGAAGCTATCTTGATTGACTTAACCAATTATCTTTTTTTTTTCTTTTCCATGGCAGGGATACACAATGATAGGATCTTTTATTACGAGGGTACTTGTGTATGTTCATGCTTTACTAAATCTCTGGCCGTTTTTGTATGATGCGGTTTTTCTTTATTTCTCAAGATTTATTGAATTTGTATATTTTCATCTACTTGTTGATAGGATGGTTTTTGGCTATGCCTTCCCAGCCTATGAGTGCTATAAGGCAGTTGAAAAGAATAGACCAGAAATTGAACAGCTTCGCTTTTGGTGCCAGTACTGGTAGATTGCTTATCCACCATTGGTGTAAAACTTGTACATAGCTGTTGGTAAATGCAATATTGAATTCTTTTTGTACACCCTTGTGTTGCAGGATTTTGGTAGCTGTTTTGACAATATGTGAGAGGATTGGTGATACTTTTATTTCTTGGTAATGGATAGTATCTTTTAATGGATGCAGAGAATGCTATGCCTTTTCTGTGATTATAAAAAGAAAAAGTTTAGTGTGCTTTCCTATTAAATAAGCAGCTTATTTTTCTTGAAGGGTCCCAATGTATAGTGAAGCTAAGTTGGCATTTTTCATATACTTGTGGTACCCGAAAACTAAGGTATGAAATTAACTACTATGGTGGAATCTTGTATTGCTCCATTATTTGTTTCTCTTCAACTTGATGGTTGAATTTGATATCATTACCTGTGTTAGGGAACAACATATGTGTACGATTCTTTCTTTAGACCGTATGTTGCAAAACATGAGCCAGAAATTGATCGCAACTTATTGGAACTAAGGACAAGGGCAGGAGACATCGCAGTTTTGTATTGGCAAAAAGTTGCTACCTATGGCCAGACTAGAGTATTTGACATTTTGCAGTATGTTGCAGCCCAATCAACAACTTCGCCACGCCCTACTCAGGTAGTTGTTGAGCTTATCTTGGCTGGTCTACTTTTATAATCGGCTATACTGAAATTTCTGTGCACATACTTTTATACTTTTTCTATATCATCAGACTTCGTATCTGCTTGATTCTGCATATTCTGGAGAAAGCATCGGATCGTATTTTTGTCAACTTCTTATAACTTTTGGGAAAAAAAATTACTTGAGAAATAAGCTTTCCAAACCACGAACTTGGTTTGCTCTGCTTACCCTTCATTCTTATGTTGTTTAATTCCAGGACACACGCGCACACACATATTTTGACATGTGTGACGTAACTATATATAGATGTGCATGCCTATACCGAATTCATCTAATGGCAGTTAATACTATTATTATAGGAGGGAGATATATTTTGCAAATGTAAAGGATTGCTTTACAATGGTGCTGGTGCTAGTGCTTTCCATGTTGTCATATTGATCAATTATCTCCAATTTCTGCAGCATTATTTGATATTTGATTGATTAGTTCGTATCTGGAAAGAGTATTGTTAATCTGGCATATTATTTGAAAGCTTTTTTTAAAAAAAAAGAGTAGGGTGAGAAAAGTGATTATTTTTCCAAAATAAGTTAATTACGGTTTTTCTTTGCGGTATCAAATGCCGTCATCTCCATGGCCTTTCTCCCATTAAAATCTCTTCAATTTCACAGCAACCATCAACTGCGAGGGTGCGTCAACCCCCATCTACTGATAGCCAACCAGCGGCTGTAACAGAACCACGAGCTGAAGATCCAGCTGCTACCTCTAACACATCAAGTCAGCTCCAGAAAGTAGCAGCAGAGGAACCCTCTACTGTAGCAGCAAGTTTAAAGAGTCAGAAGTCCAATTCTATGCCTGAAAATACCAACCAATCCGTACCTGCCGAGGAAGAGTCAATGCAGAATGTAGCAATAGCACCTTCATCCTCTTCTGCAAATGCAGATGAGAACCCTCCCTTGGAAGATACCATAATGGAAGAAAGTATTAGGGTAACACGAGCTAGACTTAGAAACAATCGATCGGCTGGAATCCGTTAGGACATCAACAGTTTCAACTTTTAGCCTGAAAAAACAATGGTGGGTGTCCAATTGTAAAATTTTATGTAAATCACTTGCCTCAGCTTCATTCCATCTATTGCTTTTTTTCTTTCTTACGAATAATTCTAATTTTTTTACCAGATCTTATCATTCTTAACTCCTTGTTAGACGAAAAAAAGTATAAATGCTCATTTTATTTCTCTAACATACTGACTATTTTCTTCCACTTTATATTCTACTTGTAAATATATAAAACGAAAAAAAACGAATATTTTATATATTGTTTATTTTTAAAATATCAAGCATGGTAACTTATTTAAAGAATTATACGTATAGTTTTATTTTATTGTCTTGTTTATAAGTTTGATCGCCAAATAAATTATTAAACAAGTTGCAGCTATGGAAAAGTGTACATTTACTAGGTTGCATGTGATCCTTCCATGTCGCACTTAGTGTTGTGAATTTCTATGTAATAATGAAGGAAACAAACTTCAAATTTTTGGCGTGCCCCCAACGATGTGCCAACAATGGGCTCTTTCCAAGGATGAATGTTCTAGTAAGGATATTTGATGACTTCTTAAATTGTATGCAGTGATGTATATGTAGTCTTTTTTTTTTCTTGTGCATGTACTAAGGATTTCATGTATTATTTGTAACATGAGAGTGTAGTCCTTTCGTCTGACAGTAAAGATATTAGGTCTTTTGTGTTGGTATCACATATTTATGTCACGTTAATGATCAAGATTTTAGACACTACAGTAGTCTGTAAAAGCGAAGATTAGCAAATCATGTATGATTTTTTTTTCTAAATACGAAATGACCAAGAAATATTTAAATTAATTCATGAGAGATAAATGTTTTGCATGTAGGTGTACCAGTTTTTTTTATTAAAATTTGTGTAAATTAGTATTAAAATATGGATAAATAGTTGGTTGATAACAACAATTATTTATATATTTGTTTCTAGTTCAATAAAAAAAAATTATAACAACTTTAATTTTATTAATTTTGTTTAAATTTTATTGGTGATTAATATGATTGAACATGTCTTAATAATTATCACAGATTTGTTAAAGAGAAAATTAGTGTTAATATACAATTAATTTTGAAGAAATCAATAAGAACCTTCTATTTACAAAATAAAAAATAAAAAGTTAGCTACATATTAACGTTCATTTTTCTTTAATAAAGAAATTTAATAATTATATTGAAGACCAAACATGTATTTAATTTAACATTGATGGAACTCAAACAAAATAATTTTTTTGTAATAAGATTATAATTTTTTTTATATTGAAAACACAAATTTATTAATACTTATTAGACATTGTTTATCCTTAACAAATTTATAAACCTGCATATAACTTTTTAATGAATTGATATTTGATAATTAATGACATTTTTATTTATATATGATTAAATAAACTTGAAAAATACATTTTTAAGAATGATTTTTATAAAAAATTTAATTAAAAATGTATCTATCAACATATTTAACTTTTGGAATGGTGTGAATATTTACTCATAAAATAATTATTAGTTTTTAAAGTAAAAGTTATCTCAATGATGTATTAAAAAAACCGTTAAAAGATCATTATGTACAAATAACTTCGAACTACACTCTCCCTTCCATCAAGACATTTTTTTTACATGAATTTTACTCAATGACCTCTTTGATAAACTTGATAATTGCCAGGAACTGGAACCTAAATAAAATAATTGGTTCTGAAAAACGCATAATTAAACATAGTACAACAACAATACACATTGATATTTTGTATTTGTCAGGCCTGAGGTGGAAGTGAAAACAGAAAGAAAAGCAATAATGAAAATTTTTGTTTGATTTGAGGTGAGAGTTACAAAAAAAGAGAAAGGAAGGTAACCATAAAAGAAAGAATTATCCAAACAGGTGTTCCGATATTTATTTTCAAATTTGGAAATGATTTTCAAAACATATGTTTTATAATTTTTTTTATATTTCAAAATATATTTTTAAATTTAGAATATATTTTTGGATTTCGAAATATCGGAACACTCATTCCTAAATGCATTAAAAGAATAATTTTTGAATTAGTGAATCCAAAATTTTATTTTAATGATATTTTAAAATATAAATAGAGTGAAACTTTATTACTGATAAGGTTCTAGTGATACAAATTCTAGCAGACTAATTTGATTTATTACTCTCAAAGGTTAGAAACTAATTATGCATACACAAAATATATCCAGTAATGTTTGACACTATATGCTTCTGGATTCTAGTGTTGGAGATGAATGAGCCTATACTCAATTTGTAGGAAGCAACTGTTACTAACGAGAATCAGGCGAAGAAATTGTAATGAATTACACTTGCTTAAAAAAATCACGTGAATAAAAAAACAACTTATGAAGGATTACTCAGATGGGGAAATATCCTAAGGATCAAATTATTGGTGGTGTCAATTTCAAGAAATCTCTCACTCTTTGCTATATATATTTTAGATTTGAATCTATCAATTAATTAATGGAGACGTATAATGATATTAGAAAAAAAATTAACAAGAAATGTAGTCATAATAAAGAGCAACATTAATTGTCTGTCAATTAAGTTCTTTTTATGAGATATATGCAATCTGAAAATAAAGGAGTTGTCAAAAAATAAATAGAAGTTTGCCTGAACTCAAAAATTTCATTAAATGATTTGCAACTTTATTAGGAGTTAAATGTGAAACATTTTGTATTTAAAAGTTATAACTCACCTTATTTGTTCGTAAGTTACACGATAGGAAAAAGACAGATTTACAGTTTGAATATACCTTTGTGTCATCTGGAATAATTTATGGTCTATCTCTTACTCATTAATTGTATCTGTTAGTGATGCTTGTGCGGTAGAAAATTCCACTCCACTTACTGCATTAATAGTCTGGTAGCTCGTCTATAGGCAAAATTGGTTTATTTTCTGAACAAAAAACACCAAGAATTGGTTGATATGAACTTTAAAACTGGTCGACTTTCATCCCCACGTAGGATAAAAATCCAAGAATCAAATTCATATAGTAGGGCTTAGTTAGAAGATATTGGTACCCCACAGTTGTGTTAGCCTTACTCCAGGATCTGACTGAAACCAGTAGTCATCTTCCATCTGCAATAAACACAATGACATGACATGTCTTTCCAGATTTTGATATTTTACAACTCACAGCTTAAGTTATACATACTTCAAAATCAGTGGGAGTTATTTCTTGAATTCCAGATGCCTGTGATTCATGAAAATTGAAACTTTCAGAAGTATTTTGTTTATCGTCGTGGCTTTCTAATAATCCCACACCTCTCTTTATGCATTGCTCACTGTTCCACGATGGATCCATTAATTTCACCCGTTTGACACTATCATCTTCATACTTGCAGTCGTCCTTGCTTCAAGGGTTAAAAAGTTCAGCAGTTAGTAGAAGACTCAATACAGAGGAAAAATCACCTTTAAACAAACAAAGATTTAACATAATAATAAAGAAACTTTTGCATGCAATGTTTACCTCAAGAGGTACAAATATATTGGTCCAGTGGCGCTTCTAACAATCATTTTGTATTGCCTTTGCCGGAAAACTGATTCCTGCTCATTTGAGTGAGGAGTCAGTTAAAACTCTGTGATACACCAAACTTTTTGAACAGCCAAGTTAGTCGAAAGTAGATACCACCTCATCAGGATCAGGGACCTCTATGAAACTAGCTTTTGGAGCCTTGATTGCTATAATTTCTTGATTCTGTGAAAATAGTAGATAATAAGTAAAGTGGCCATAATGGTAAATAGATATATCTTCATAAAATCTAAGCGTATAGAAAAAAAAATGACCTGGAAGCATGGAAGACTAAGAATCTCTTCCTTGGTCAAAAAAAGGTACCTAATGATCAAGCAAGCTTACCATCAGGTAAAGAAACCTATAAATTGGAACTAAAATACAAGGCAAGTTGTCAGAAATTCCTACTTCTGAGAGCTTTCACTTTCCTCTAGGTTTCTTAGAAGCTCCTGTTTTTTCCTGAGAAATTAAAATGGTAATTGTTTTAAAAGAATAGATCAACCATATGAAACTTCACGCGATATCACTTTAACAAACAGACCTTATACAATCATCAAGTTCGCATTCCCTGGCATATAGACTTTCAACTTCAGCCTGTATCGAATCAAATTGTCAAAGTTGGACTGAATCACTAACACAAGCAGTATTGGCAGGTGGAGCTAAAATCCTAAGAGCAACATGCATTTTAAACTAAAATTGGTGATCAATTACATCAGTCCAAGGCACGAGCAGAAGTTGGCTATATTATCTGCATAGGCATATTTAGTTCAGGATAGAAGTGGCGAGACCAATACATTCGATCCGCAATATGAGGCTTATACCCTATCTATATTTAAATAGTATCATAAGAAATGGAATCATGTTACATTCAGATTTTGCCTCGACCAAGAAGCTTATTAAAAGGTATCTATCATGGATTTGTTAGACACACTAACGTCATACAGACACATGTCAAGCATAAGCTTGAGTTTCTACATAACACAGATACTCATACAAGTGATCCTTTAAGATGCATTTATGTGACCTGAAAATTTTCTTTTCGCTTCTAGAAAAAATGCCTCAAGCAGTTTAAGTTGAAAATTGCTGGTATCAACTTGAATTTTATTTTGATCAATCTCTTCATGCTGCTCTTAACTGTACAATTATGAAGAAATATTTTGAACATACCATACCATGGCTTCAAAAGAGGCAAAGTAGGTTTTCATTTTTCAATTATATAATCGAATGTAAAAATTAAGTCATGTTTACACTTCAAAGCAACCATGCAAGCAGTCTAAAAGCAGGAGATTTGAACAGAGTCCTTTAAAAAAGATCCAAACCTTTAGACCGTTAATTTGGTTCTCCAGTTCTCGTGGCCCAAGTCCATCACATCCCCTGCTCGTAAAACACAACGTGTATCATATATATAGGAAATCTGATAAAAGAAACTTCAAAGTAACAAACAAAATCATAATATTTACTTCCACTGTATATGATTTTTTGAAGTTTTCTCTATCAATCCTACTCCTTCAAGAACATTTGTAATGTCATAGATTCTCCTTTTCTGAACCTGACACAATTAATTTTAGATATATTATAAAACCAGAAATTAAAAAACCATGAA